CCATTCTAGATTTGGCCAAGTGTCTGTTGTGTTAGTTAAACTTAGCTTGATCGACTTGGTGGACCAAATTTTGTTCATTGGACTCAAAGTGGCAATTCAGCCGACAAAGTTTGTTTCTAAATGAGTTTATGGGCTTAATTACCACCTTGTTCCAAGCCTTACTGAGAACTCCATGTAATCTTTCTGAAGTCGCTACTTCTCACGGTAGCGCTATGAAGATCTTGTATTCCCGTTTGTGATGTTGCCATTGTTATTCAAGTTATAAGTGTCTCTCCCAGTGGTCTTCAGGAACATATGACCACAGGTTTTTCGATAACATAACTTGGATGACTGAAGATCGGTTACAATGGTGCAGATGTATTCACCCTTTCACGTCTTCTAAAGCATAAACATGTTTACTTACCTTCATTTGCAAATTCCTTGTCTTCATATACACTTTTTCTACTTTAATATCAATCTTTTCCCATCCACTTTTTATTTGCAGGCCACTGTGAAATGTTGCAGTTTGAACGGACACACTTTCTTGCGAGTTTCTACGTTGATTTTGTTTATCGGTATGACCGATCGCCGGTTATTTCACCAGTAGTCTCCAACCATTGATTCCTATTGTTTCGACACCCCAGCCGGGTGGTCTACACTTACCAGATCAACAGTCAGATACTTCATAAGTTGATTTCCCTTCTCTATCTATCCTTAACCCATTTACTACCAAATTCCGCTTCTGATAACATCACACATCGATTAGGGCAATAGTTAGGTATGTGTAAGGGATGTCTAAATCACCTCAGTTGTCTTGTATACTAATCGACTGTCATGGTTTACTTACGTAATATTCTATCCACGTAAGCAATGCTATCGAAAAACCTGTGGTCAGAGGTTCCTGAAGCTTACTGAAAGAGACACTAATAACTTAAATTACGATGCCAACACCACCAACCAGAATACAAGACCTTCATAGCGCTACCACGCAAGCAAGTTACTTCAGAAAGGTTACATGAAATTCTCAACAAGGTTCGGATCAAGGTGGTATTAAAGCTTGCAAAAGCATTTGGCAGCAGATTTTGTCAGTAACAGTAAATCAAATGTGTCATCGAAATTCGGAACATTTTCATAATCTGCATTTATTTATTCCTTCTTCTTTTATGCGCTTCTTTCTGCTTCAGTTTCGTTCCTTCTATATTCACTTCCTGTTTCTTTGCTGTTGTGAGGATGGCAAATTGAACTGTCCAAGGTTCTGCGTTGCTTCATCTTTCTGTCATTGATATTTTGAGAGATTTTATGTCCTCACAAAATGTCGCCTCTGTTATGTCGTGGCGTACTTCATCCTAACGATAATAGGAAACCACGCTGAATAGTGATAAAATTCTTCAAATGCCTAATTAACCTGCCTTTATTTTTATACTGTTGACAGATAGTGGCTAGCAGCGGCATTTAGAACGCGCGTTTCGTCCTATCTGGGACTCATCACCTGGATGTACCTGCCTTCTGGGTCCACCGGGGTGAGGGCACCCTTGTGGTTGCACCAGATGATGAATTGTGACTGTCCTAGTTTTAGAGGGCGTAGACATATCTTCAGTTCTCCTGAAAACCCATGTATAGTTATCAGTTCAAATAATGGGTATATCATTCCGCATCTATTTATCAATGATAAATGTTTTGATCAGAAACTTTTTCTCATCGAAAGTTTATGGACGTATGGGCACTAGGGCGAATAAATCATGACTTCGAAAAAAAAACATTTTTACCGCTTATCTTGGTGTACAGTGTTAGTTAGATTGGAATTAGATGAAGATCGCTGACAAATACGCAGCCAGTTTTTTCGAACTGGAAGTTAAACATCATCTACGCTCACTGATTTGCTGGTCTATTTTTGCATTCTACTTCTAAACACTATGTATTGTATTAAGTTGAACCGGTGCATTATCATCTTTACTAGTTGATTCAGCTCATCATTCGTTTTCACTATTTAGCAATGTTCGATGTTATGTCTCCTTTCTAATATGAATAATAGTATAGTTATAACCGTTAATCATCTGCAAAGTGTGAGGACACTTTTCATATTTACTAATTTGGTTAAAAACAGCAGATTAACAAAGAACTTTCATATTTTAAACTGGTATTTCATTTTAGCACTATGTATAACATGTAATCAGGCTACCTAATATATTGTATTGCATATAAATCAATAATTCTATGCGTATTGTATTATGACTGGTTATGCACCGTCTGTCTGATACTTCTTGCTATACACTTCTGCTGTTTTTCGTCTTCTCGACTACGACTATAATCTTTCAATCGACACATTTCTGTATTACTTTGCACCAATAATTCTACTAAACCGTAACGTAAATTGGACTAGACACACTCAACTTTAAAGTACTCCATCGGACTTGTATTAATTACTTATTTATCTGAGTACCAAAGATTAATCGACTACTTTCATGCATATAAAACTATACATATGTTGTTCTTGTTTTTGTCTGTCTCTAGAAATTGTTTTTTTAACAGTACGAATAAAAATAATAAGAAGTCAAGTTTTACTCTTTCGCAACTACTTATATTAGTTGTAGTGAAGTATTATATCTTTCTTACGAGACTACATGTTTCTTGTGGTGTTCCACTACTCTTTATTCTTCATAGTTAACAGGTTTCAGTGTTTGTGTAATGAATAAGTACTCATAGTTGCATAGGTCATAGTTCAGTTAGAGGTATTAATGGCTTCTAAAATTTCTTCTTTCATAGACTAACTTTCACTATGACATCCGTCAAGTTGTGCTTGTAAATAAATTCCATTATTTACTACTGATAGTTGCATTCAGAGTGATAATACATATTAGTATCTAACAGTGTAATCCATGGCATGAATTTGTTGGTATCGGACAACAGAAACTTTCAAATCGTAACAAACTCTGATTTTATGTTAGTTGGATGGAGGCAATCGACAGGAAGCCCTGGACCTAGGCTTCGTGCTTGTTGGCACTCAACAGCAAGACATATCTACAACCGCGATGGAATTGGCGTACCTCCTGAGATTCGAACTAGCTTCACCCGGTGTTTTAGTCACTGACGTTACCACTGAGCTGTTCGAGCTGTGACTGACCTTTTGTAGGACTGGATTAGATACATTGATTGGTCACTGAAGGACAACCAACTTCATGTTGTCTATCAACGACGAATGCCAATAAGCACGAAACCTAGGTCCAGGGCCTCCTACTAATTGCTTCCATCCAACTGACATCTATTAAAGTGCATCACGATGCTGAGCTGCTCAGTCTAATGGCCACACTGCAAAATGTTCGGTAGAATTCGACCCAGCACTTTTGACTGGTTACCCTCCAGTGACCAATCAAACTCTGGATTCACTTTCATTGTTTAGCATATGGCAGACGTGTGCAATTATACTTTGAACCAGAATGATTGAATTGATATCATCCCTGAAATATATTACAAAAAGTATATCCATTTGTCTCATCATCGTAATTAGGTTGAATTCGTGTTATTTTGTTTCACGTTTCATTTGCTAGGTTTTTTTAATACAGCACCAAAATGTCACATATCTGCTTTGAGCTAGAGTCCATAGTTATCTAACCCTTCACCGGAGCTTGAGAATAACGAAATCAAGGAAACCAGGCGGGAGAGTTGTCGTTTGAAGTTTTGATAACTAATGGTGGTCCACCAAAGATGCCAGCTGTCTTCATTCTTGGAAAATGGATATTACCTTAGGTAACTCCAACTTTACAAACTCTCTCTCAGGGAAACACCTGGTTGAAGACGAAGAGTGGTAAAACTAGAATGTGGCACCATTCCATAATGTTTCTGACTGCTAGTTTGAAGTGTTCAGGCAGATGTACACTGCCTGGTTGGAGTCATCGAGACAATAGAAATCTATGGTTGGAGAAATCCCTGAAAATCAGTCACAGTGGCACTGATATGTTCACTATTCTAATAAATGCTTCGTCATTTTCACTAATTTCCATTTGTAAAATTATTTCTTCCCCAAACACCTTTGTTTATTTTGATATCATTCGTTTTCAACCCACTTGTCTGTGAAATGCTAATATGAAGTGTGGCAATTGGAACCGATACACTCCCATGAGACGTTCAACCTTGATTTTGTCTGTTTATGTCAATCTACTTTGAAATGCAAAAGTTTTTAATTATGTCTGTGAAATACTACCTATTTAAATGAATTTGTTCATGTTAATCCAGTCACTTTCTATGAATCCTGGTCAAGATTTGACTGGGCACCGAATGAAAATTGACATTGGATATAAGTTTGAAATAAATCATTCCAACGTTTCACATTGAAGTCTTGTCTGAGCTTCTTTAGTGAAATAATCAAAATTTAAAACTGATTAGTTATCTTATCTTTATGCTTAAAAGAAACAAATAATGTATCTGGAAAGCAACTGCGAGGATATCTAGCTTCCTAAAGAAAATTAATAAGATAGCAGTCTAAAATGATCTAACTTTGCTGTTCCGTGAAGGAACTCCTGAACGTCTTCTAAAAGTGTTCAGTAGGGCTACTCATACTGTTACTTACGCGAAAAATGTACGAGTTGATTGTGAATAACAAAGTCATATGAATAATTTATGAGGAAATCTGCTGCTGTATAGATCCTATCTCAATCGAATTTCCGATCTGCATGATAGACTAAAAGTAACTTCTGCGTGTGACACTTGCTGATCTTTGTCACCAAAGTCAGTAACGATGCTTAAATTCTTCATAAATCAATATTTCCTACTTCCGTCTTTGTTTTTGAAAGTTTATAGGATTAGTAGATTGAATCAGTATTCACTTTTAAACATTCTGTTCTTCTCTACTGTCTAACATAATGAACTTTGCAAATTACTTATTGAAAGTATTCCTGTCATATTAACCTTTGTTATTGTTTGCTGTGATTTAACAGTGTTGTTTTTAATTGCTAACGGTTATCACTTCCCTAGAGCTTTATCACCTAAAGTCTATTCATTTACATCTAATGAATATGAAAATTTAGATTCAATCAGTTAACTGGACGACTAGAACGATGCACATCGGGAAGTACTGGAGGTAAATCTAAGGGTTCATTGAAATATTCCAATGCAGCTATAACAAACGGCCTGATATTTGGTGAGCCTAATTTACCTTTGGGTGTGACGGATGAATATAATCCTTTGATTCCAAACGAGTATGAAGAATTAGCTCGTATTAAACGTGAACGCAGACGTGCTGAGGTAAATAATTAGTTGTACTTATCATACTTTTTGAAAATAGCCAGCAAGTTGGTTTCTTTTCAAGCTATTTTTATTTAAGTAGAACTAGTCTCAAATTAATATTGTCGTCTAATCAATGTGTCATATTCTTAGGTTGTCTGCTTTTATGGAATGCGTATACTATTGTAATATAGGAATAATAAAACAGTTTGTTAAACCATACGAAATAAGTGAAAATTTAATCCTACATATCACTACATTCATAAATGTCAAAAGATGGAACACCGTTAACTTTTTCGTATTGATTCATATTATAATACTTCAAAGCCTCGGAGATGGCAAATTATTAAAATATTAGAAGGGACCAAAAGTACATTAACAAGCAAATAAGTGTCTGAAGAGCAGAAAAAAAATCATCAGTAGGAGGACACAAAGTGAACTCATTAATACTAAAAAAACAAATAAAGTAGTTTAAAAGTTAGTTCCCTTTATGAATTTTGATAAAACAGTAAGTAAACAAAAATAGAAGTATCATTAATATAAGTGAAAAACTTGGGCACTGTGGTAGAATGTAGTTCCATATTAGATTTGTTTATTTGATATAAAGCGCACAGTGATACAGTATTATTTACTTGATTACGTTTCGAGCATAAATTATTGCAATAATTTATGCTCGAACGTAATCAAGTAAAATGTATCACTGTGCGCTTTATATCAAATAAACAAATCTAATATGAAAAATAGAAGTAATTTAGCAAAGAAAAATTTTCTTTTCGACGAATTATCTTCAGTAACTGTACAATTGTATTTATAGCCAAAAAAAGAAACAAGTCTGTTGTTAGCTAATAGATCAACATAAGGTCATTAAAATGGAATACTCTAGGATGAAATAATAAGTCGTTTTTAAAGTTAGGAAGAGATTGTGTAATTGTAGCATGCATAACGAAAATATACAATCGGTCACGTTGATGACTGTTAAGTTCTACTAATTATCCTCAATAGTCACGGTAAAATATTCAGAGGATTTTGATGGAAAATTAGAACTAATCTGAAAAGATGTGAGAGAGTAAGCCTTGAGCTCCCCCACTGCTTTAATATTCAACTTACTCTTATTGACTGATTTTTTTTTACTGTTTTTACTTTGTCACCTGGGAGCAGTGACATTATGTCTTTCAAACCATAAGTTTCTTCTTTCACACTTTATGCCTCTTCTACATACTTCTTCACCTCCCTGGTTTTTCTATTATAAGCACTAGCTAATAATTTCGACCAACCGAACTGACCTTGTACGACACAAGGGAACATCATCATCATTAATTCAGTAACAGGATGATTGTGTAGGAGAATAACTTTTTGGTGTCCAACAGCATATATAGGTATCTTCTTACTAGGATGATGTTGCTATACGCGGTCGGGCTCAGTCTATGTAACCAAACTACTAACATCTTATTTAAACAGGTGACTTCAGTGCACAAGTGGATAGTCTAATTCTGGCAGAAACGCGCTTATACGCGACCAAACGAACGGTTATTGGCGATCGTCTGCTATAACTGTACTCAGACAACCACTCATTTCTGACCAGCCCGAACTTAAGATGTGAAGAGAGACATTTTCTGACTTGTCATTCGCCGATTTCAACTCGATGGTGGTCGCAGATATACCATACCGCCACCAGTTATTGCTGGAGAGGTTCGGTTGAAGATTACTGCAAGAAGGTCATTCTCGGTTCAACTCAAAAGTGACAATACTAAGACTGCTTTCAACAATAAACTGATTAGGCAGTTATCTAAACAAAACGATGTCCTTCAGTTCGAAGAAACCTGTCGCCAACTCCAGTATACTGTAAAAACAGCGTTGAAGACCATAGCTGACTCTCAGAAACAGGTTAAAAAAGGCCAATGGATCTTACCAGCTTCTTCAGAATTAATAGGTGCACCCGAACACATCCCTGCAAGCTTCCAGCTCAGTGAGGAGTAGTAGCAATTTAAATTTAGACTGAAAAGAAGTCTACACAACGGACGTGAACAGTGGTGGGTAACGAAGGCTGAAGAGATATAAAGGACAGTGGCGATAGGTAATAGGAGACAGCTATTTAGACCTATCAAGAAAAGTGGGACGAAGAAGTCAGTGGCTATTAAGACTGGCAGAAAAGGATGAGTCTGTGATTCACTCTCAGGAGAGCCAGCTGAAACGGTGGATAGAAAACTTCGAGGAACAACTAAACTGGCCTCCAACTATTATCCCGTTGTTCTCCATCCGGTCAGATCTTGAATGAAACATGATGATAAGGTTCCCCAAGACTTAAAGACGTTGATAAAGCTGTAAGTTATCTGAAACAAGGAAGGGCAGCAGCGCTAGATGGACTAGTAACGGAAGTATTCAAGGACGATGGTAGAGTATCATTAGTGTTAGTGTATGGGAGTCGAGTATGATCCCCTCTAAGTGGTTTCAATCTCTGATTGTTCCAGGGTAACAAAAGGTTAGTGGTGACCAGACTAAAACATGGCATCAGTCCCTGAAGTTTTTGACTATTAGTCTGAGCTGAGAAATGTGAACTTTCCAGTTGGGGTCTGTGTTACAACATAACCCGGTGGTATGAGACTCTGAGTGCTATGGCTCAAAATTGATGTCAGCGGAGCAAATGTATCAACACATCATCTTAATCATCATACTGAATTTTCTCATTCTCCACTTCTCCCTCTGAACTGCTTTCTTCTTTATTTCTCTTTCATCTTGTTGCCTTCCGGTGTCGTGCACTGATGTGGAATGTGGCAACTGGGTCCCTTACACGGTAATGCTAGGTCCCATTAGTCTAATCAACATTCCGCTTTAGCAGCTTTTACTGAAAAGCCTTTCACTGTTAGTATTCAATCTTCTTCATTTATACCCTTCACCATTTCTAAACTACTAGATATTCACTGGCTCAAGAACAATAAACTGGAGAAAACCAAGCAGGACTCAGATCTCGATGTGAGGCTGCACCGATCAGATTTCCAACCTTTGACAGATCCTGGAACATAGACATACTTACCAACGGCCGACACTTGCCATATTTCTTTACCATAAGGCAGCATTCGATCCAGTCGACTGTGAAGTGCTATGGTAGCGTCTGACTTTGAAGGGAGTATCAAGCAAGTGTATAATGATAATCAAAGCTCTTTATTCGAACTCAGACAACCGTGTTGGGGCTTATGGAGAGTTGTCATGTGAATTGATGAGAGGTGGCGGTATTTGCCAGGAATGTCTACTGTCACTGTTCATATTTAACTCCGTTGAAGACATACTAATGGGAATAACCCTAGGTGCCAGTGACTTCACAGGGACTGATCTACTGCATATAGGTCATCTGGCCGATAGACGATATTGTCTTGCTAGGCTGATAAAATGCAAGGTCTTCTGAGCAGAAATTTAAGTTTGTTTGGCATGCGTTTCGCACCTGTCAGACATAAGATGATGCTCCAGGAGTGGTCTCCAACTAATTAGTCTAAGGATAGAGAGTAAAGTGGTGGAACATGTTGACCATTCCACTCACTAAGGGAGTTGCATCAACTGTTTCCTGACGAACTTCCCAACTTGCATCATCTCTGGCGTCGACTGGAGAAAAATCCAATTACCTATTAAAGGTCGGGTACACCGCGCACTGCACTCCTTCCTACCCTGTTATACGACTATGAGACATGACCATTGAAAGTTAAGGACATGAAGTGGTTACAGGGTTTTGATCATGGGTGTCTCTGTAACATTGCTGGCGTCTTTTGGAATCACTATGTGAGCGATATGAAGGTCAGGTGAAAGGTACTGGGCAAGGAAGGAAAGTCAGTCGATGAGGTTTTGAACCTTCAGACACTGAGGTGCCTTGTTCTGTTCTTGCCGAGTCACCACCTACCTCGACTGACCATGATTGGGGAAGTCACATTATGTTGAGAGAGGGTTTAGAATGGCTAGACTAAGACGTGAAGTCTCTGACTGTCGGTCTGAGCCCTATGGGAAGATGTAGACTGCCTGGATGGAGCCCCTGAGACGGTTGGAATAAATGGTTGAGGACTGTTGGTGACATGGCTGAAAATCGGTCACAGTGGTGGAGATGCATTCACTCGTCGTTTTTTTCTAATACTTGAGTGTTTTATTTAACGTTAATTCTTAAATTTTCTCTCCCCCACACACTTGTATACATTGATATCAGTCTTTCTTATTCGCTTGTTCTTTGTATACTACTGTGAAATATGGTAACTTGAACCTGTGCACTTGTGTGCGGGGTTATTCTTTGATTTTGTCTGTCTCCTCGTCTGTAAAGCAGATTTAACCAGGGAATATGGTGTATCAGTTTCAAAGCTTTGTGACAATGGGGGTCTCGAGCAGTCGCGCACTTGAAAGTAGTTGTCTACTTTACTTCTAAAATAAGAAGTGCGAATGTAACTATAGCTTTCAATAAGATTCAACTAGTTCAAGTTGATGAAGGTCATTCTTCAAATGACTTCACTGTCACTTTTATTTCACTTACGTGGTTTTCAGCTTGGGCTTCAACCAGTTTCAAATAATCTTTGCAGATACTTTTACTTGTAAAAACGTTTGTAACATCTGCTACTTAGGACTTTCTGAATCCTAACACTAAAACAACCAGTGGGGTCCATATGAAGATATATCTTCAGAATTTGCATGGCAATTGAAAATAGTGTAAAATTTCTTATACTTATATGTATTAAGGACTGATTTTTACTTGATTCTAATATGGTAAACGTCATGTATCTATACTAAAATATGAGTAATCATACAAGTTCGCGTAGTCTTGCGTTCAGACTATTCATTTCTCGACCATATAAACAGATAAATAAATCCGCGTGGGACTTAGCACAGGCCAAGTCTCATCTGTTATTTCACATGTTTTTCCCAGAACTTATATGGCACAGTTTATCAAGTACTAAAATTCTCTGCTTATTTAATAGATGGTAAGAATAGAAGCAATGATATGCACTACGGGTATAAATCAGTAATTTTACAAAGTGCTGATCTGTGTTTGTACACGAAAGTCATGACTGTTTCGTTAATCTGTTTCAACAAGATTGATAGTTACCTTGCTGTTGTTTTGACTAAATCATTTCTCATACTCATATACAAACAGTCAACGTTCTTAGTCAACCCACAATAATCGATGTTTTCTGAAATGCATAGATTATGTACGGAGCATATAGATACGCTTAGACGAATGATAACAACTAACTACTAAAACAAACTCATTTACCATTGGGTGGCTATCATCTTCATTCATAATCACCGTGTTTGCAGCATTTTACTTACAAATGTTTTCGGTTCTAGTTATTCAATTTCTTTATTTCGCAATAAATGCTTTGTTTTAGGAATCAGCGCTTGCAGATAGACATCATCGGTTAGATCCATTTGGTATGAATGATCCCACTGGAATGTGTCGTCGTTTTGAATACTCAGATGATGAAGAGGATGAAAATGAAGATAGCACTGCAGCTTCTGGAAGAAGTACTTCACAACCGTCTAAAGGTGCTGCTATCGCACCTCCATCTGTTTTACTCGAAGATGTTACTGTTACTCCTGGTTCAAATGGATCACAGAACTCTGACACACCGACCAGTACTGAAGATGCTGGCGTTAGTACGGCTAGCAGTAAATTCGGAATGTATGTTTCTATTACTAAGGTTACATGTTTTTTTGTCTCATGCTTTTCGTCTGAAGACTGTGGTTGCTAATAGGTCGAATATTTTTATAAAAATTAATTTAATTTTGTATCGTATTGCTTCAGAGTAAGTCGATTTTCATGTTTTTCAAACTGACTGAGACAACACACCTCTGTTTCAAAGAGTGAAATTCTTCACGTGTTTGCATTTTCTCTCATCTTTTCAGCGTACGAAACTATAAATATACAGTCCGAGGATATATGTTTTTCACTAGTCCAAAGTGAACGGTCAAAGACCTTTCATATTTGTGATCTTTCTATCTAGTTATATCTTTAGGTTTCGTAGATAATTGAAATAATAAATCAATAGTTCGTGACTTGTTGCTACTTATTGATGTGACCTGTGAGAACAAGAACCACATTCTATTTATTTGCTGTTATCCACATACATGACATCTGGTTAAGCTGTGAACTGGTTGGCTATTCTGCGAAATGATCCACTTGATTTTTATCTGCTTTTCCGAACAATTATCTAAATAAAATGTTTCTCACTGGTAAAACGCTGAAGTAATTCGTTCTAACAGTCTTTTCTTCCGCATAGATTGTTTCACGTAAAGGTTTATTTCCCGAAGCCGAAAATTCAATAGCTCTAGTGCACCATATTACTAAGTTCAGTGTACAAATACCATTATTCTCGACAATAAACTATTGGTACTGAAAAGGGTTTCAAGCTGTTGGCATTCTAAGCACTGTTTATTATAAATGTTTATTTTTGGAGTGTTTCAAAAATTGTATATTTGCAAGTAAAAAACAAGTCTCGTTCAGTACCAACTGCAGACTTGCTTTCTTGAATCGTTTTGGATAATCCCGTGTATAATCCTTTTTGCAAGTTATCATTTTTGTGCTTCTATCTCACTTGAATGTCTTGTGTGTAATAACTCATAGATGAGCAATATATTGCCATACAAACAAATTGGCGTACACACTGATGAATGTTTTAAAAGTCTTTTGGATATCTGCTTAAAAATGTCGAACATTAAGATATTTCATGGTCCAATATTTAAATCAATTATAGTAGTGGTAATGGTTTCCTATAGACATTTAAATCGTCATATTTTTGTTTTCATCATTAATCACAAAATATGTTCTACTCTCCAATATTCAACTCTAACCCAGTTTTAACAAAATATTTGTCAGTAATCGATTATAGAAATCACGTTGAATTAGTTTTTGTTTTGTAACGCCGGCTCTTGACGAATCTTTTCACACTTCTTGTCAAGGATTCTGTGATAGTTATGATACACCTAGTTCATTTCCTGTTTTTTATCCTCAGGGCTTCTCCTGTAAGAGTTTAGTTCATACGATAGTTGAACGACATAAGGCGTTACACTTTGCAGTGATTGGCAACCACTATAGTAAAGAATCAGTTGTCTGAATCCGCCTTCTCAGCACTGATTCTAGGCCTTGTCCTCTGGTTGTGTCTTCATAATGTATATAATTCTATTTTGTGTGGCAATTTTGTAACTTCACATTGTTAAATTATCGTTCGTTTTTCCGTGTTCGTGTATCATTTCATTTCTACATTCCATTCAACAGTAATGTTGTTGCAGCGAAAATGATGGCTCGAATGGGTTATAGAGAAGGACAAGGTCTAGGCAGAGAAAGTCAAGGTATGTCTACAGCATTAGTTGTAGAAAAAACTAGTCGACGTGGTGGTAAAATTATCCATGAAAAAGACCAACAGCGTCAACAGATGCAACCTAATGCTGCTGCCAGCAATAATAATGCTAATCTACCGAATTATTTGAATCCAAATGTCGAAGAGACATTCAATAATCTACCTCTACCGGAGAACCGTAGTTGTGTAAGTGCTATCTTCCATGCATACAATGAATGTATATTAACGAAACCTTTAAATATGTTATACTACTTGACTACGATCAAGTTTTCGGTTGCGTCAAATATAATTTATGATTCAGATAGGACTATAAATCGATTATCCGGTGAACTTGTGTTAGTTAAACGGGATCTCTCGGTTTACCGTCATCTATTATCTGTTGAAAACCTTTTAAAAAAGAACATGATACGAAAGTAAAGTCATTACCGGAGACCAATAAATACTTTTACGAGTTTTTATTCTTTCAATTTTCCCTATCAATACACTCACTTTTGTACGATTTAAATTAGGTTTATAAAGATGACATGACAACAAACGTGCCTTTTATTGGTCACGTTCTCTAGATATATGGCTCCAAACAGTACAGTTAATTCCATCGTAAAAATCCTGTGTTTCAACTCAGACAAGAAGGGAGACATAAATCCACATTGGGTTTTGAATTAGCTTATTTTTGGGTTTAATGAGAAAATTTTCGATGTCATTTGTGGTATAAGAGTTGCATGTTGAGATTCAACTGATATAAACAAACAAAGGAAATCAACAAGCAAAGTACCAAGCAGAAATAGATGAGATACACTATTCTGTAGTAAACGGGCAACTGTGACTCTCCCTAGATGGAGATTGGTGTGGGTTTGCGCTGCTGACCAGGAAAACTGGAGATGAAATTTGCTCTGGTGATTACTGGTTGAGCTTAGTTACGCAACGGCCGTGACCCTCCACGTGGCGCTGCTGGATATCAACCAATTCACTATCGGAGTTGATTTAGCGGCGAATGCGGTCGACGAGATCCTAATGCCCTGATCAGCGGTGTGGGTTTCCAAGGCGCAGACACCATAGCTAACCGTTACGATTCTGCCCAGTGCGCTGAGAGCAGTTTACTCGAAGGGTAAAGGAATCCAGCCTCCTTTTTCCGATAGTCACTGCCGTTGAAACAGTCTCAAGAGGAGGTCCTGTGGTTAGCCCTGCAAAGGTGGGCAGTATTCGGTCCGGAATGCCGGCTGTCATTCGCTCTAGCCTTCCCCCTAAGTGTAGCATGGGAGAGCAGCCTCCGTTTGAGGTTACTGTTAGAGGGGAATAATCTTCCGGGGAGGTGAGCTGTACCTCTTCTGCAAGATTGTGGAGACTCAGTGAGACGCAACCCAGCCCACGGGGAGGTGAGTACAGTCAAATGATCCGATTACCCGGCGAGTTGATGCGTTGAAGTCCGACAGTTAGGAGAGTTTGGGGATAACATTAGTTAGTTTTGAGGGAGCGTTAAAAAAGTGCTGTGGCAGGGGTGTTTTCCTGTGGATGCGTTGCTATGATATTTCCTGCTCGTTAAGGGGACCTTTCCCACAGGTTATTGGGTAATGACGTCAGTGAAGATGAGGTCTAGTCTAGAACTAGAGTTGAGCCGAAAATTTGAGTAAAACTCTCTTAGGAAACGAAGAGGTACAAAAGGACTATTAAATCCAAGGTGTTTTGGGAAAGAAAAATTGTGTGTAGCAAGTGTCACTTATAACCATCGAGTGTTTTTAACTACATGTGGGTTTCAGCTATGGAGTGTAGGTTTCTCATATAACACTAATAGTCAGTAACTTCATTTTTCAGCCTTACTCGGATCCATTCATCCTCCTCGTGATTTACAATATCATTGAGTTACTCAATACACTTCAGTGAAGTTCTTTTCATGTAGCTTCAACATACATGACTTGGTTTGCTAGTCATATACTAATAATGCTTTGCGTATAAATATCTAAAGAAGTAAAAAGACATTTGTAGCTTCTGCGTTTAGACGATTGACTTCCAATCGGATAGTCATAGATTCGAACACCGCCCCACCTACCGAGGTTTGAGCAGCCAGGTAGTGTCATTGCCTACTGCACGAGTGTGCACTTAATTGCCGAATGCATTTTGATTTAACGAAGTAGTTTTCGTATTCGTTTACCATCAGTGTTTACGTCTATCAATTATATTACTACTTAGGATAGCGCGTTGATGTGATACTAAATCATTAGTTGTGCAAACATGTTTTTGGGAGATGGTTTAAATACTGTGTAACCTAGACACTGTGGTAGAATGTAATTCCATAATATATTGTTTACTTGATGTATCACTGTGTGCTGTATATCAAATAAACAAATCTAATACAGTCAAACGCTCTTCATGACTTCTTCAGTCATCAACTTATCTAAAGTTGTCACTTCCCGGGTTATTGTATCAGTGAACACCTCTCCTCAAGTCACTTCATCAGTTTGATGGGTATGAAAACGGTCTCATTCCTAAATTCTCACCCAGAACATTGAGAATCTAAGATTTCGTGGAGGTTTTCACCTGCTATGAATGTATTTTGAGTTAATCAGACGATTTTCATACGGAAAACCAACTACTGACTGATCAGAAGTCGTAAATGACGCTTGATAAGTTTGAGTGACACTGATAAGTTACTTATAATATACCCAGCCAAAAAATTCATTTCTCAGTATCGGGTACTACTTCGTTCTAGTGACAGTTTGGTTTTCATATTCCTGTTATCTCAGTGAACAACCTGAACGACGTTAGGAGGGTCGGTGTTATTCGTAATTGGTCAATTTTCCTGGCAGGTTTGTGGGTGCTCGCTGATAGGGAGTTCCAGACTAAAACGAAACAGCTGTCCGGTATTTCAATGGTTCCGCAACTGGTGTCAGTCTATGGTGAAATCTATTTTCACATCAACTAATCCCTACGAACTTCCAGTTAAATCTTCAGACTCACTGCATGAACCCGAAGATGATGCATGAAATCATGTTACCATTAGGTGAATTGATGAAACTAGAACATCATCATTTAAAGGGTGTAGTTCTCCACTATTGAAGGGTTTCAGTCACTGTATGTCAGCACACACAATATAATAGGAACCGATTCGTTTTCGCGTGACATTTGTTATGCCCACTGATATGCATCACAGCACTGGATAATATTATTGGTGATTGATGAAAAGTACTTTCTTTGATAGTTTTTCTGGAGGTGTCGGCGTCCAGCGATAAGACTCATGCCTAAAACTGTCAAACAACTCAGCTCTTGCTTAGGCCTTCCCAAAAGAATATTTGATAGTGAATATATATATATATATATATATATATATATATATATATATATATATATATATATATATATATATATCTGATGATGCATGTGAAAACACGCATGAAAAGTGTATGCCCAAAACTGTCCATTTTAGGAATCGATTATAAATTCCTTTCTTATGAAGTTGAACGATGAAAAAGGTTAGGAGTTATTCGACCAACTGGCTTGAAACTTCGGTTAACACTATGGAGATTTTGTCTACTACTGTTTATATTTGATGATGCTATCACAAACAGTTCGAATAACACTTGTTTACACTACCAGAAAATTGTGCCGGTGTGTTTTGCACATTCTTATTAAGTATGTTCTAGTTCAGTAGAATGTAATATAAGTCAATTGGCAATATGCTTGGGTGTTTGTATGATTTAGTTGTAATCCCTGAAATACTAATCTGTTTCTTCTATCACAATTAACTCTTGTACATGTGTGAACGGCAATTGTAGGTCTAGTTTATCCGGTCAATAGACAGACCGTCAATTATCTAGTCTTGTTCAGATTGCAAATCTTCTTTCATACTTTTCCGCAAATGTGTCCACATTAGCTGCAAAACTAGGCTACATTTTAGCTGCAAACTATTTCTGCACTACATTGTTCCTGTTCTTTTTCCAAGAAGACGCATTTTGAAACTATATTTTCATCATTCTAGGTTATTCTTCTGCGCAACATGTGTGGACCAGGTGAGGTGGATGATGATCTAGAGCCTGAAACAGCGGAGGAATGCGCTAAGTACGGTAAAGTAGTGATGTGTATGATCTATGAGTTACCTGAAGCTCCAGACGACGAAGTTGTTCGTATTTTTGTTGAATTTGATTCCGAAGAAGCAGCTACAAAAGGTTAGTTTTCGCGCCAAAGTTTTTATGTACAATTGGTAAGAATTGTCCAGTGTTCTCCTAGCTTTGGTAGTCGGTCGCGAATGTACCATTCCCAAGTTGGGTGACTTGATGGATAATGAGTTCTTTACGAAGCTAGCACTGATGAAGTAAGACAGTATGACACAGAAACTTCTATAATCAACTATCAAAGCCTAAAGAACATTGGATTATCAACATACTCATCCTCGGTTACAAATCTTCTCAACTTCACTTACAAAAGCCTCGTTTACTCTGTGCAACATATTGAATAGCTTATTTATAAAATGATTCTTGGAGTTATGTTAGATATCCTCATGACGAGCAGTAAAACTTGAAATACACAATATTTCAGTCCTATTGATCTTGACGAGGTAAACAAACTGCATATATTTCTTAACATAGGTTTCACGCATCTAACGCGATCTCCTATCATTGCCAAAAATCACTACCCAGGGTTTATGCATGGAGCTGAAAAAAGTTCTGTATGAAAGACAGCTGGTTCGAAGCCTACCACGACCAGGGTTGCCAATTAATGTTTAACTAACTATTGAAGAAAAATCACATTGCATGACACTTGGTTCTAAATCAGTAACTATATAAGGATGACCAGGTGACTTGATGTTTATCCACACTAAATGTTGTTATCAAGTAGACGATAGTAATGTTAAGTACATATTTTCCGACGAAGAAATTCGTTTGGTTCATAAGATCATGGATCCATACCAATGCTGATGACATATCAAATGTTGGTTTACATCGCCGCACAATATTTCCTGTAAGAACAGTCAGAAGGCTATGTCGCCAAACAAAGACATGGCATCAATTCACATTTCTGGATTCTTACGTCACTGGGTTATTGAAGTCATCAGTAATTAGTGGTTGCGGTAATATATAGCTCGAAAGCGATCGCCTCTTGTTATTCATATTTCATGGCAGCTTCCTACTGGCTTACTGACTTCCTGTGGCAGTATACTTTTGTGCAAAGTTCTACTTCAACTTTCTCTCTGGATTATGAAGTACTCGCTTCTTAAACTGAATGTCTACACTTAATGGAATTGGAAGTGTGTGAAGTATTCAGAGTCTACCTTACTTCAAGTGTCTGTAAGCAATTCACCATGGACAACCGATTCAGTGCAACCTATTGAAGCAGAAGACAACTATCCGCTCATCTAACAGTCCAGTTGGTATTTTACATATTACTGGTAAGTAGATCACCCTTACCCTTAACGCGGAAAACAAAATTATGAGCATATCAATAAACCCGCAAAAGAAACTGAGGATCAGCGCTAAACACTGAATTCTGCCACTTATTTTCTAGTAGACACTTCTCTTACGTTAACAGTTTATATAGATGTCACCTATTTGAATCAGCTGTTTTACTATTAACAGTCATTGTCAAAAGTAATTCCTACCAAAGTGCCGTTAGTTAGTTCGAATACATTTTTATCACAACCACACTGATCATCTCTTACTTTTTTATCCACATTTTCAGCGGTACTCGATCTAAATGGTCGATTTTTCGCCGGACGTGTCGTTAAAGCAGGATTTTATGATGCAGAAAAATTCAGAAATCTGGAACTTGCTGATGCACCAATGTCTACGTGATTTTGTCTTTCACTATGTACAGAATATAAAAGTTTGTCAAAACCGTACACACAAAGAAAGCATTTCTTACAAGCTAGCTAGCTCAATCCTTAATGCCTTTGAAGGAAATAAGACAATATTTTAAACAGTCCAGATACGGGACACAATCATTGGTAAATTAGTAACAGTCTTCAGTAATAAAAACAACTACTTGGCTACTATTTAATAAACTCTCGTGATGAGTGACTAAGAGCGAAAGTATTATTATTTAGCCGATTTCTGTCACATCAAATCTTACATTCCATTCACGTTCTTCGAGTGCATTACTTTAGTAATATTGTGCGGTGGCGATTGTGTATAAGTTCTGCATCGCAGTAGTACTATCCTGTTTACAGGAATTCCTTGTTTTCTAATCTACGTGAATCAAACAATTTGCCAAGTAGTAGTCCTTTACTGCTAAATAATCTATTAGTTTATTCTGCTCGGAGCCGTTCAAAAAAGTGACAGTTGACACCAAAGTAGTCGAACAACTAAGAATGATGACTTGTTGTGTGGTCTTAGTCTGGAACTCCTCGTTAGTTCCTGACGATACCAGACTGATCCCCTACAAATCATGAATTTCATTCGCACTTTTGAAATAAAATTTGGTATCAGACTGCATTCGAATTTCCTGCTTGTTGCATAAAGTTTGGATTTCTCGAACTCATCAGCTTACCAGTGAGGAAACTATATTCCCAGCATCTTGATGGATATCCTAGTTAAGGTCAATACTACTAAGTATTGACATCAGTTATCGTTTCGTACTACACGAATCGATACGTTGTGCTGTGATACGGGTGAATGATGATCTTGAAACCATGTGACTGATGTTAAATGTTTTCTGTGACACAGAGGAGCTTTACCAGCTATCATGAACTACGTTTAAGATATAATTGCGTGGTCAGCCGATGTAGAAGGAATTCACTAACTCGACAGTTGTCAATGCTTGAAAAACCTGGAAAATGCAACTCAAGGCTTCAAAATGTTAGTTATAGGGAGGATAAAACCTTTTTGTTCATATATTATAACACTGTATACATTACACAGTAAATAAGTATTGCATTAGTAAGAAGCATATTTCGAATGTCATTGAGAAATAAGAATAAAAAACAAATAAGTTGGGGGGCGGGACGACATAGGAAATGTTACATAAGGATACAAAAACGAGAACTCCTTACAGGCTCCGAGTCAGGAGTTCCCTCATTCTCAGTTTCATTCGATAAGAAACCAACTAATGGAGTTTGACTTAAGGCACTTGGTATTTCTCCATCTGTGTCTTCTAGATGTATACCGTTTGTCTTTAAACTCCTTGGTGCAACGGACTTGCGTGCTTTTTGTTTAGGCTGAACAGTAACCAACTTGTAAGGTGTATCCACTGGTTTTATACGTTGGTTTGCACTTCTGAGTCTTGTTGCGATGGGTGGAGTCACAACATATGCCACGTCTTGCTTCTTACTTGACCAAGATAATTGTTTTCCATCCACTGGCGTAACATGTTTTGGTTTTCTAAAGAAACATTTCCCATTCTGCTGTGAACTTACCGACGCTGTTTGTAAATCCCTGACTTGCGGTTAATACCTTTTTCTTTAATTGTCATTATCCAAAAGTGGTTATTTGTAACTTTATGTTAGCTCTTGGTAGTCATCCTGGGAATCGAAATTCAACAATTAGCATACAAAGAGTATCATATTCAGTGTTAACCGCTGCACTGCGAGTACAGCGCTAACACTTCGAACAAAACAATTCGTCAAACTTTACCAAGTGAAATGAGAAAACTTCCCTCGGTTTTACTAGTAAATAGTTTACTTCTGTTAGGTTTTGTGTATACGGCTACTTTTTGACTCCATGAAGTCAACCGACTATCCGTTGGCAAATGAACAAAAAGAGGATGAATGGAAACGGAATCATGTTAAAATACCTCTCCGGAGAGATATTGACAGCTCACTTCACACTGAAGTTAGTGCTGATGATGTCGTTTAGCAAGGCGATGAAAGCTTCACGACTAAACAATCCAGCTCAGAGAACACAATACAACCAAGACCATCCACCTGAGCTACAAATATTCTCCATCACTGTCTGAATACTCTAAAAAGAGTTATTTCCTTTAGGTGGTGGCTCTGTAGTTTGCATGCAGACAGTATGAGGATGGAATCAACAGTGTACATTTAGACTGCTATACTTAACAAGGAAATAATGATACCCCAAGTAATGTTAAGAAAATAAAATATCACAAATGTGGAGCGCGTCACTTCGGCACCTCTGTAGGGGGATCATATACGTTGATAATCATACTATTCATGAAACGTTTACTTGGCAAGCGAAATCTGAGCACTGAAAATACATTCGCTTTCGTTATGCGATAATCAATACAACTATCTCGCTGAGACCCAATGAGTGGTCTGACTTGAAGCTTTTTACATATGTACGTGTTACTTGCACTATGAATTTTACAAAAGAGGTTTCGAACTCTGAGTATTTTCTAATGCCTTAACATAATTTGGAAGGCAGCGTCTGAGTAATGGTTTCTATATTGATTAAACTGGCATTAAACACCGACCCAGCAAGCTATGCCCGTGAAGTCCATATTTTATTGAGGTCATACCATTACCAGAAAAAAAGTTGCAGATTGGTAAGACAAAAACCGATCACCGTTAGAATTTGGATCACTAGAAAATAATGGGGATTTAACTTTCGAGGGTAATGTTCCAGTCACATAGTACAAAAGAAGTGCAGTATATCTGGTTTTCTGTAAACAATCGGACTAAAAAATGGTGCCATAAATGACTGATTAACTGACAAAATCAACGTAGGACCTCCCACAAGTGCATTGGCTCTAGTTGCCAAACTTTACAGTATTGTGCAAAGAACAGGTGAATAGAAAAGGAGTGATATCAAAAAGATAAAGTAGTTTGAGAGGATAAACGACTAGAAGATAAAGGTTAGTGCGAATATTCAAGCTTTAGATGTCAAGGCATGAATACATCTATGCCACTGTGACCGATTCTCAGTCATGTCACCAAGAGTCCTCAACCACTGACTCCTTTCGTCTCAAGGACCGCGACCAGGCAGTCTAGATCTCTTCTCACGGCTCAGACCGACAGTTGGGGACTTCATTGGCTGGTGCGGCATCTTGGTCTGACCATGCTGACACCTAAACGCAATCCAACTTTCCCTACCATGGCGCGTCGAGGTAGATGGTAACTCAGCATGCACAGTACTTGTCCAAGCCATTTTGGTTGACTAAGGTTTAAAACCTCATCAATCGACTTGCCTGTCTTGCGTAGTACCCTTCGTCTGACCTCAACATTGTTCACGCGATGATTCTACCAAACGCGAGTAATCCTACGAAGGTATATGTGGTCAAAACCCTATAATTGCTTCATGTCTTCTACCTTTAACGGCCATGTCTTACAGCCGTAAAATAGGACATAACAAACTGCAGCGTAGTATACTCGTCCTTTGATAGATAGTTAGATATTTCCCCATCCGGCGACATAGGTGACGTTCGTTGGCAATTGTTGTACGAGACTCCTGTATCCGAGGTGAGATTTCGTCGGTAACCAGTCGCTATGGGCTGATGCAATTTCCTAAATAAGGGAAGTGGTCGACATTCCACCACTTACCTCATTTAGGAAATTGCATCAGCCCATAGCGACTGGTTACCGACGAAGTCTCATCTCGGATACAGAAGTCTCGTTTAGCATTTGCGAACTAGGAGCATCACCTTTCATTTGGTAGGTGCAAAACCCATGCCAAACATACTCAGATTTATATTTAACGCGTTCAGAAGACCCTGCAACTTGTCAGCGTCTTCACCTAGCAGGACAATATCAATCAGATGCCTTCCACGGAGTAGATCCCTGTTAAGCTAGGTGCACCTAAGGTTATATCCTTCATTACATCGACAACGGAGTTGGACAGTGACAGTGGGTACCCTTGGCGGACACCACTGGTTGCCGTTAATTAAGATGACAGTTCTCCACAAGCCTTTACATGGCTGCGCCAATTAGATTAGAGTTGTAGTTAGCCTTATATGCTTGTTTGGCACTCCTTTCACAATCAGACATTGACACAGCACCTCATTGTTAAGCCCCGCCTTCGAGTCAAAACAGTGGCAAGTGACGGTCGCCATTAGGTATACCTGCGTCCTACAACCTGTCAGAGATAGAAAATCTGATCGATACAGCCTCATCCATGTCTGAAACCCGCCTGATTTTCTCGAGCTCCGGTTACGCATCAAATAACTATGCATTCCAGGATCTTGGATATAATAATATCAGTGAAACTGACTTCACCATGGTTGTAACATAAAGACCTCCCTTCATTTTTATAAACTGAAATGATCAGTGATGCAGACTAATCTGACGGGACTACCTGTTTCGCATACATCTAGAACCTCCATCACTTTAAGCAGCAACTTCCTACCTTTATCCTTGAGAAATCCAGGCGGCAAGCCGTCAGGTCCTACTGCTTTGTATTGTTCCAGGTTCAAAACAACCTTAACTTCTAGAACAGTTGGGGAACAGACATTTATATCCGATTCAAGATCAGGTTAGGTGTTGGACAACTGAAGTGCTGTTGTGAGCCAGCTAAACTGACTTTTAAAGTCTTCCGCCCAATGTTCTAGTCACCTGTCCTGAAAGGTTATCAGTGTCCTGTCGTTTTTGGCGATGGTCTCAATAACCATCGTTTTCGTCCTGCTGGTATCTTTAATAAGCCTAAATAGTTGCACGATGTTAGCTAAGAATAATGCCTTCTCCATCTCTGTCGCTTTTGCTCTTCATTGTGATCACAGCACGGTAGAATCAGTCTTCTCGCGTCAGTCAGTTCGGATGACGCTGAGGAAATCTAGTGATGTTTAGTAATCTTCGGCTGTAGGCTACCAAGTGTCATTACCACTGTTTCTACAGCAGACGTCATGTCACGCCGGGTTCCTTCAAGATAAGCATTGCTATCACGTTCAGACAAGTGCTTTGCTTCCTTTCAAAATGCGTACTTGACGTTTTCATCTTCCAATCGAGCACAAACAAGCTTTGCTGCTCCCTGTACGGCACATACACGAACCCGTACAAGTGCGTGATCATAGTCCGAAAAGGTACTCCAGAAAGAGCGGTGATCCTCCAACGACGGCTTACAACAATATGATTTGCATGTGTCCATCGTTGGTTTGATGTTGGTGGACCCTATGTGAGACAGCGTCGTTCCCTATGCCTAAAGTTAGTGGGCTACAAACAAATGGTTGTCAGGCGAGATCGCAACAGACGATCACCGTTGTCAGTTTGTCACCAAAGGTTCCTGTAAATACCTCTGAGATGCCTTTCCGACTGGATTAGTTTCCCTAGTTGAGCGTTAAAATCCCCTGACATTATGACTACATCTGAACGGTCTGCTTTTGATAGTAAATTGACACTCGACGATAGAATTCATTCTCTGCACCATACGAACTGCAGTCGGTGGGTGTGTAGACAGAAACCACAAATAGATATCGCCTAGCTCACGATCCTTTCTAGCTCTTACAGATCCATTCAGTCGGACAGTACGTAAACGGCTGTTGACTGTTATCCAGTCGAGAAGCACGCTTTCTGCCCTACAACTCAATGCTATGCCTACACCAGCCAGTCTACAAAAGATAGTCATTGGGTCTCTGAATACTTGTAAGGTGAATATTGAAGATTGACTACTACTGTCATGTGAAGTCAATAACCACACTAGAGTTCTGTATACATCTCAGAAATACAACATACATCCATAGCTAGAGATTCCACAGTTCTAGAGAGCGATTTTTTCTGTCCGAGTTGGCGCAGAGTTCGAACGTTGAAAGAATCTACTCTCAGGACACTAAGAATGAGGTTTCGATGGCTTCTGTCGTTGGCAATGGCTGCAGAGTGAAAGGTTGGGGAGGATGTTGGAGGCTTAATATTAGTTTCGGGAGGTGAATGCAAAAGAGGAGATAGAGTTGAGGATAAGTTATGTTTGATTAGGTCTTGTGTACTACTGGGAGCGTGCGGGTGGTTGTGACTTCCCAGCTGTTCACAATGTGGAAGAGTGCCTGAAGGAGAAAGACTTTTGTGACCACCGAGTCCATTGGATATCTGCGGATGTGGATATACTAACATCTAATCGAAGAGACATATACTGCCAACACCAGAATACCGCAAAGCAGGGAAGAGTGTGGTCAACCTTTTCTGACCGTCGCCCCTCTTTTGCTGAGAAGGCAGCATCGGCATGATACTGCTGGTCATCCAAGGGAAACACCTTATTGCCATCACACTTCATCCAACCAGCAGTACAACTTTGCCCTCGAACCTCCATCATAGTGTAGCAACTTACAATACAAAAGGTAACTGCTTTTCGTCTTAGCACTATCCAAAAGACCTTTCTGGCATGGTAGGGAAGAAGAGTTCCAGCCAGTGTATCCCCTTGCGTAAATGTGATATAAAATGCCCATCATCACTTCAAGGTAGAGACTAATGGTCAGAGGCAATACATGCGCAACACGCAGAGTGCTTTATGACATATCATTATTTGATATAAATGAGTTGTTAGTCTCCTATATAACGATGTATTTAGTGGAACTTAAAAAAGCATATTTACTAC